CCGCCACGAGCCGCGGCCACAACGTCCCGAGGAAAACCAGGAGGGACGACCTGCGGCGAAAAGCGCTCCGTCTTCAGGGCCTCTAAGAGGCCCTGTCGGGACGAAAGAGCAGAGCACCGTTGGCACCTGAAACGGGACCCAACAGGAATAAACCTATGAGCGCTGGCCCTCGCTGCGTGCTCGAGGCGGCGGGTCTCGGCGGTCTTCGGGATTGGCCGCTCGACATCCGTCGAGGCCTTGGACCGCTTGGGATCCGCCGAAGAAGCTTCCGCCAGAGCCCGCCGTGCTCGTCGACGCACCAGGGCAGCGGTGAGGTCCCACGCGTCTGTGGCAGGAACAGTCTGGGCGGCCAGGGTCCAGGAACGCTCGGCGGCATCAGGTGCCGCTTCATCAGCTAACTGGTTACCGCTGGCAAGAAACACTTCGTGATGGGAGAGGGAGGGATCGTCAGGAGAGAGGTGCGAGGGCGTCCATTCGACCGAAACGTGCCCTGGGCCTCGGTCATCGATGGCGCAACGAATTCGCAGCCACAAATCGCTGTTCCTCCCCCCAAAACTCCAAGGTCGACCCCGACTCCACCCCGTCATGAGAGGCTTGTGGTCGGTCACAAAATGGACGGGACCTGAGGTGCCTTCCAAGAAGAGAGCGAAAGCCTGCAGCTCCGACCTGGGCACAGTTTGCGAAGGGCCTCGCAAAATCTCGGAGATGCCCCCCACGACGGCCCAACGCAAAGGTCCTTCCCCAGGTCGCGCGTCCCTGACCACAACGACAGCGGAGCCACACCGACGGCGACGAGGGTCGGACGAAAAGCGTCCTCCAGAGCCGTCCCCGAAGCCGACCAACGGGCTACTGCCAGGGTCTCTAGAGCAAGCCCCAAGCGGGGCCTCACCTAATTGGGCTCTACTCAGGCTCTCCGACGGCTCCCTGAAAACAGGGTGGGTGACACGGGTAGGCGGAACACCTCGCAGCCAAAGGCTTGGTTCAGATTCAACAGACGCTAACGCTTGAGGAATCAAATGATCAGTGGACGTGAAATCACTGTGGTCTTTATTGCAGGGGCAACGCCAAATGCGGTGCGCAAGAGTTTCTTCCTCCTGCTGGCATCGCGGGCACAGGCGGTCTGAGGGCTCGCTCAGTGGGTGCTGCCTGTCCATCGTCCACTGGGCGCCCGTGACCACGCACAAATTGAGGCCGAACTGGTCGAGCTCCCCCCTCTTGGCGTAGTGACTGAGCTCCAGCCTGGCCCAATAAAGGTCAGCTCCTTCAGCCAAGCCGTCCCCTGCAACATGAGTCGAAGCATTGCGCCAAAGTTGAGCGCGAAAATCAGTGACCACGTCGTCCAGCAGCTCGGAAATGTCGAACCCAGTGGGGTCGTAGCCTGAACGACGTGCGGTTGGAATCAGCCACTCCTCGATTCCTCCGACAGTGGGTCTCCTCCAACGGAGGACCGAGGGTACTTCCCATCCCGCGTCAAGCAGGGTCGCAATAACAGCTCCAATGGGTCCTTTGACCAACCTCCATCTTCTGCTGGCGCCAGCTGCGAGAAGCCGCCGATGAATGACTGCCCAAGCGTTTTCAACTCGATGGTGAATGCTGGTGTCGGTCTTCCAGAGACAGAGAAATTCTGAAAGAAGGCCTCGACGCAACTCCAGGGCAGGGTCCTTGAGACCGTAAAGAACCGCCAGTGTAGTCGTAAGACACCTGCCCTTCATGGGCCCAGCTCCAGCCGCGGCTGCCTGCCGCCTGACGGCGAGGACGTTAGACGGCGACATGCCATGGGCCTGGTGCCCGTAGGAACCTTGAGGAGCTGCGCCTGTGGTCCAGAGACCTTGAGCTTCACGTCGCAGAGGGGCATGTCTGCGTAGACGGGCAATACGAGCTGCCCTCCTCTTGCTGGCGGTCAACCTCATTCTGGCCTTAATGACTGTGCGCCGTTTGCCAGATGCCGCATCGATGCCAAGGTCCGTGCCGTGCAGGCCGAACCGCACAGGGATGCCTCGCTTCTGCAAATGAGCGGCCGTCCTCCTCCCGTCCTGCGGAACGGTGGCAATGAGGACTGACTTGTCCGAAAGCTTAAGACGGAATTGAGTGGCGAGGTCGGCAAGAGTGACCGTAGCGTGGAGGATCTCGGTTTGGACCTTGGTTTGCGTGCCTTCTGAGCGGGCAACCGTGTCGTCAATGAAGGTCCAGAAGGTGCTGAAGCTCGCTCTGCGATGTGCCGCCTCCATCAATGGATGTAAAAACAACTTGGCAATCCTTACCCCATGCGGGGAGCCTGCAACGAGAGATCTGGTGGCGAAGATGGCGTCTGCAACGCCAAGAGAGCCCCGCAAGAAACGCGGCCCAGCGCACATCTCCAGCTCCAGTAGCACCACAATCGCTGGGAACTTGAGATCGAGTGCAGCTTGGCCAATGAGGACCCAGGATAACGAGTCGTAGAACTTCTCGAAGTCCAAAAGCCGGGTCGCCGCCGAGATGCCAAGAGCCACTGCGGATTCATCGAGCAACGCTCGCAAGAGACCCGCTCGAAGCGAGCTGCTGCCCGCCACTGCGGTGTCCCAGAAGTCAGAGAGCTCCTTAGTCCATGTAGACGTAACGCCTGCTCTCACGCGGGACCAAACCTTCGCCGTCTCTGGAAGTAGTCCAAAGACCCTTTCTCCTCCTTTGGGTTTAGGTAATAATGCTCCAATAGATGCCGGGATCTGAGCAGGCCAAACTCCATGTTCTTCAATGCTGTTGAGAAGCCTGCAGTAATCACACCGACCTTCAAGTGGAAGCCGTTGGATGTCCAGAGGTGTGATGGAGTCAACTCCGCAGGCCTTGGTGCCGAGAACCTTGAGAACATTGTCCACCTGTTCGACACTGACAGGATCTAGCTCCTCCTCGCGGCTCTGCGTGTGCAGGCGCTTGAACATGGCGAGGATGTCGGACTGGGAGTCGACTGGGTCGTGCCAGAGTCTCTCCCAGGTGGATCTGGTGTGTTCCATTCTGACAGTTGGGTCTCCAACGACGCTCCCATCCACTAAGGGGTCAGCAGAGACCGCCTTGGGTTCCTTCGCCAGTGAGTGGAGCAGGCCCGGCTTAGATGTCCAAACTTCCTTGGCCCATCGGATGAAGGAATGCCGCCTCAAGGTCAAGCATCTTGCCTGAGAACGACAGGCCAGCTTCTCAGTTAAGTCGGCGAAATCGTCGCGCTCCATCTCGGTGGCGCTCGCGAAGGCGCGAGACCAAGAAATCCACCGCTGCTGATTAGCGGCGCCCTCTGAACCTGGACCAAAGAAGTCGGATGGGTCGAAGCTGTTGGCGTCGTTGGTGTAGCGACCAAGGGCTGAGGTACAAATCGCTAGCTGGCGAGGATCCTTGCCATGGCGTAGGAGAGCCATGATTCTTTGAACCAAGGTGAGAACTGTTCCCCACCATTCTCCAGCTCCATCAGTCATGTGCACTCGCCCTGGAGTAGCTTTGGTCTGCATCCACCGTAAAGAAAATCCAGCTGCGCGTGGAACTCGCAGTCGAGGGTCGAGCTGATGATGAAGTGCGAAGGCACGTTCCACTCCAGAGGACCACCGCGCGTACTGCCTGGTGACGGCACCAAGGCCGAGCACGTTGATCTGGCCCAACAACTCAGAATTGACCACGCTGCAACATTGAGAGCTGAGCCTCTCCTTGGAGGGCTGCTCTTCCCACAGGTCTGAAGGTATGTGAAAAGAGACCTGGGACTCAAGATCCAAAGTACTCTCTGATAGATGTAGCGCACCGTAATCTTCCAACAGATCGGGTGGTACGCGGGCCCGTTCTTGCTCTTGCCGTTGGGCTCGAAGTAGAGATCTCTTGCTGCTGGGGTCCGAGGCGAGCTTGGGTCTGGCAACCTTCGGAAACGGTTCAGGTAACAAAAGTTTCTGGTACCGCCATCTGCGCATGCCGTCGTGGACGTCAACCTGTAAGGCACAATGCGTCTTCCACGGAACCTGAGGCTGCGAACGAACTCGGTACCTGGAGGATGTTCCGTTCTTGGCCATGGCGAAATCAATGAGCGAGCCCTCTTGCCCTTTGTCGCACGTGGTGCTGACGTCAGCAGACAGAAGGAGTGTGCCTCCTATTCTTTCAGGCCAGCCAGAGCCTTCCAAGGAAGTTGGGGAGATGTTCCAATCACCGATAATCAACCAAGGGTCTGCAAGACCATGAAGAAAGGAGGCTAACGCAACCAACACTTGGCGATTTCTGCCAGAAACTCCCAATCCTGGCCAAAGATAAACTGATACCAAGACCAGGTTGCCCGACGACATGTGCAAGATCATGGCGGCGAACCCGCGCATAGGATCAGGTTGGCGTGCAGCTTGTGCGTATTGCCGAATAGCCTGTAGTGACGTGGTGGCCAGATGCTTCTTGGCCATAACCCATTCGCCACCAGAAGAGCCTCCTCGTCCTGTTGGTGTGCTCCCTGCTGCGCAGACCTCCCACCCGTCTTTGTCAAGGTCCATCTCCGTCTTGGAGTGGGAAGTGGCGGAGGTGACGTGAGTCTCCACCAGACAAAACACAGAGTAAGGGGCTGTGTTGACATATCGCTGCGCTTGAGGCCCCCACTCCGTGATGTTACCATAAAGGATCGAGAAATCATTCTCGTCGGTGGTGAGCTTGGATGGGGCCTGGAGCGGCCAAAGCCTGCGCTGCTGGTGCGCTGAGGTCAGCCCCAACGCAAGGAGGGGCGCTGCTGCAGGCAGCCTGGTCCGCACTAGCCTCAGGAGGGCTGGCGGTGACGCCTGGTGGCGAGGGGCCAACCTCCGCCTCGCACGGCAAGTCCTGGGGGAAACGTTCGATGACCTCCTCCAGCTCCAGCTCCTCGAACGGATCCAGCTCGGCGTCGTGCAGGTGCGCCGTCGTGCAGGAAGGGACAGAGGCCTGCGGCCCCGTAGATGCGCGAGGCGCAGCCCTCGGGGGAGGGCTGTCATTAAGGGCAGCATACGCCAGCCCGCCAAGCACACCCGTCAGCGAGGCTTGACCCGATGCGCCCGAAGAAGTGCGAGTAGCCGAAGTCCTCGCACTCGGGAATGGCGAAGGACCGCGCGACGCCGAACGCGACGAAGACGAACGTCTCGCCTGCGGTGTCTGTGACGCCGAGACTGGAGCCGCAGTCGGCGAGCTGCGCACCTCCAACGGTGCTGTAGTTGGCTCGCTTCCGAAGGCGCGCTCCTCATCCGCGTCGAGGAAGAACTCGACTGGGTAGGGCCAGGGGCGCCCGCCGTAAGAGCATGCCGACGGAACTCGGCGCGGCGCCCCTAGCTCTGCGCTAGGCTGTGGACGGAGCCCCTGGTGCTGCAGGGGAGGGGGCGGCGCCAGGAGCGGCCTCTGCGGAGGGGGAGGCGGCCTCCTGCTGAGCATTAAGCTCGTCCTGGGCCGACTTGGCCTTGGCTCTGGCCGCAGCGCGCATGGCCTCGGCCCCAGCAGGAGCTCCTGCTGCCGCAGCGGCGCCTGCGGGCGCAGCCCCACCAGTTGCAGCAGCAGCATCAGCAGCGGGGCCAGCAGCAGACCCAGCCGCATCGCTGCCGTCCACACGCCTGCGCTTGGCCTCCTCCCTGGCGCGAAGCTTCCGAGCCTCCTCCCGAAGCTCCAGGATGCGCTGCGCCGAGGGTCCAAGGACTTCCTGGACCTTGGTCTGGACGCTGTCGGCCAGCTCCTGCTTGATGCGCTCCCAATCGACGCGCGCCTGCTCGTCGAGCTCCAGGCCCGAGAGGTCGAACAGCGGCCCGTCCACGATCTGCAGCGAGCCCTCATCGACGAGCGTCGACAGGTTGATCGCCGAAGAAGAGGGTGGCGGCGTTGAAGGCGGCGCCGCTTTGGCCTTGACCTGCTTGGCACAGGCCGCCTACCAGTCCTGCTGCGCCGCATGAGCGCTGGCGGCCGCCTCGTCCTCGGCGGCCTGGGCGTCGGCCAGCCACTGCTTGCTCTCCAAGACGCGGGCCGAGCAGGTCTCAAGCCATGCCAGCGCCCTCCTGCAAGCCACACCTTTGGCCCGCACTTCCTCCTCAAGGAGTGGCGCCTTCTGAGGGGCGCCCGCGCCTGCAGCGGCTGCCTGAGCCTCCTTCTTGGCCTGCACCGCCGCCTTGACCTTGAGCAGCTCGTCGCAGTCCGAGCCGAGCTCCTTCTCGAAGAACTCAAACGGGTCATCAGGCTGGGCGGGCTGCTGCTGCTGCTGCTGCTGCTGTCCCGAGCGGCCGCCATGAGGCACCCAGCCCGCCTGCTGATAGACCCAAGGCCGACGCTGGACGGCCTGGGCCTTCGGCGCGGGCCGGGGCGGAGGCGGTCCCTTGGCGCCCTTGCCTCCTGCCTGAGCCCAGGGAGGAGCCGCAGGGGCGTCGGCAGCAGACTCTGCCTCAGGAGGAGGCGTTGCGCCTGCCTGCGGCGGGCCCCAGACCCACTGGCCGCGGGGCCGCTTGTCCTCCGAGGGGCTCGGTACCAAGGCGCCGCCGCACTGGTAACACCAGTGGTTGTTCTTGAAGTTCCAGCGGGATCTGCAGGACGTGCAGGTGATGTACGTCGTCTTGGCCCCTGCCGCTGGAGCCAAGCGACCACCGCCGAAGCCTTTCCTGCCACCGCCCTTCTTGCCGCCGCCTCCCATGGCCGCTGCGAGAGAGGCTGCTCTCCCAGTGAAGGGGGCAGGCGAGGGACTGGGGCGGACCAGCCCTCGCGAAGAGGATGTCGGGCGCAAGCACCCTGGCACTGCCGCGGACTAGCGGTATCCAGTTCTGCCAATGCGGGCTCAGCCCGCAAGGAAGGCATCTTGAGCCACAATGGCTACGGGAGGAGGAGGAGGAGGAGGAGGAGGAGGAGGAGGAGGAGGAGGAGGAGGAGGAGGAGGAGGAGGAGGAGGAGGAGGAGGAGGAGGAGGAGGAGGAGGAGGAGGAGGAGGCGGAGGAGGAGGCGGAGAGGAGGAGGGAGGAGGGAGGAGGGGAGGAGGGAGGAGGGAGGAGGGAGGAGGAGGAGGGAGGAGGGAGGAGGAGGAGGGAGGAGGGAGGAGGAGGAGGAGGAGGAGGAGAGGAGAGGGGGGAGGAGGAGGAGGACGAGGAGGAGGAGGAGGAGGAGGAGGAGGAGGAGGAGGAGGAGGAGGAGGAGGAGGAGGAGGAGGAGGAGGCGGAGGGGGGAGGAGAGGAGGAGGAGGGGGAGGAGGAGAGGAGGAGGAGGAGGAGGAGGAGGAGGAGGAGGAGGAGAGGAGGGAGGAGGAGGAGAGGAGGAGGAGGAGGAGGAGGAGGAGGAGGAGGAGGAGGAGGAGGAGGAGGAGGAGGAGGAGGAGGAGGAGGAGGAGGAGAAGGGAGGAGGGAGGAGGAGGGGGAGGAGGAGTGGGAGGAGGAGGAGGGGGAGGAGGAGGAGGAGGAGGAGGAGGAGGAGGAGGAGGAGGAGGAGCTCTACAGGAGGAATCTTCAAAAGTAGTTTGAAACATGGTCCGGGGGGCGATGTTTCAATGATTGCGAAGGCCTTGCGGCCAGTGCCGCCGACCCTGCATGGCGGCGACAACCACGGCCGCAACGACGAAGCTCTCGGGGGCCTCCTGGGGGTAGTTTGGGGGCCTCTTTGGAAGCTCTTGGGGGCCGCTTGGGAGCCTCGTGGTGGACTCTTGGGGCTTCCTGGGGGTCTCTTGGGGGCCTCTTGGGGCTTCTTGGGGGGCTTCTTAGGGGCCTCTGGGGGTCTCTTGAGGGCTTCTCAAGCCGAGGGCTCGAAATGTCCGCTCGGGTCCCCCGTCTGGGCTCCCTCTTACAACCGTCTTGGGAGCCTCTTCGATTGTCTTGGAGACCTCTTGGACGGTCTTGGGGCCTTCTTGGGTCGTTTTGGGGCTCTCTTGCACCCCTCTTGGGCCATCTTGGGGCAGTCTTGGGGGCCTCTTGGCCTGTCTTGGAGCGTCGGGAAGCTGACAAGGCGAGAATGCCACACTTTTCCAAAAAGCTAAGGGAGATCGATGATTTTTGTTCCTTGAATCCCTCCTTGAAGTCCTCTTGGAGGCCTCTTGGGATGTTTTGGGAACCTTTTGAGCCGTCTGGAGGCTACTTTGGCGACTTGGACCGATACTTCGGCGATTCGGGGCCCTCGAGGACCATCTTGGGGGCATCTTTGGGCATTTTTGCTGCGTAATGGGTCTTTTTTGGGCCCCCGAACCGCCCAGGGGGAGTCGTATCTGACCCAGGACTTCCCCGAGACTTCCCCAGGACTTCCCCAGGCCCCAGCCCCCCCTGCGGGGAAGGGATCAAGGGGAAGGGGCTTCCCTTCGACTCCACTACAACGTTGCTCAATTTCGCTGTGGCTGGCGCGCTCGACGACGGCAACGACCACGACGACGACGACGAATCAAACGGAAAAGCCTATTCCACACGCCGACAGGGTCAGCGGATTTTTAGCCGATTTTCTGTATTTCCTGAGTATGTTCAGTTTTTCTCCCAACATCCTTCTGTGGGAGGACATGCCCAACCTAATCCTGGATTCCATCGCAGGGCTCGGGCGGCTTGGGATGCGTGCGTAACGCACGACCCAGGGTTCTCATGCGACCCAGGCCCAGACCCCCTCGAGTCATGAAAACATCACGACGCGAGGTTTTTCGCTATTTTCGGCCTCTGGGGGCCCATACTGGCCCTCGGGACCGTCAAAAACGACTCGGGATGAAAAACCGGTCCCAGGGAATGGGTCGAGACCGTCGGGGGTCGACGTCACGAAACAATCATGACGTCGTGGGTCTGGGGGTTCTCATGAAGGAGCTCAGGCTTTCTGACTAGAGGGCCAGGGCTAGATGAGGGAGAGCTCAACCGAGTCTAGGGAGGGGCCGCGGCATGGGCGGCAGTGCGTTTTCTTCCGCGATCCTTTCTCTTGGAGGCGTCCTTGGCATCGGCATCCCTTGGGCTCACCCTGGACCTTCAGTCAGCTAAGCGGGGGCCCTCGGCTATGACGGCAGGAGAAGAGGAGAGGCTGCATCGAGCGGTGCCGCACGAGGCTGCCAGCCAGCAGCGCGCTCGGTGCCGCACGGCAGGCGAGCGAGCCAGCGGGGACGGCAAAGCTCCGTCTCCGTCGTGGTGCGATGTGTGGTTCCAATGAACACACGTCGCCGGTCGTGTAGGTCTTGCTAATGTACACTGGGCGGGGCAGCCACCGTCAACAGCATGGTGGTTCGCGTCGGCGTGAGATTCTGCGCGAAGGGATGCCTCAAGCGCTTCCAGTGCGCAGCGAATAAAAGCCGTCTGGCCCCTCCTTCCCTGTCCATGCGTCCGTCGTCCTTTCCCCCCGCTGCCTCTGCCTCTGCCTCTGCGGCATTCAGTCTTCGACTCAGGCACGCCGCGCTGTCCTGCCTCACTGATGAAACACGTGATGGCGGGCTCCTCCGAGCGCCAGCAGCCCGAACCTGCTGTTCCCCGTGCCTCCTGCCAGTGCTGCCTCTGGTGCTGCTGGGGGTGGGGGGGGGGCGCGTGTCGGCAGGTGCGCAGAGCGGCGGCCTGCGGTGCTCTTCCTGGCAGCTGCCTCTGTGCCTCCTGTGGGGAGCTGGCGCCCCCCGCGTGATCTTTCGCGTCCCTGTCCTTCTCCTGTTCCTCCTCCTCGTCCTCCTGCTGCTGCTGCTGTTCCTCTTCCTCTTTCGCCTCCCCCTCCTTTCCCTCCTGGCCATCTCGCGCCCATGCGCCCCCCACCCGCACGGGGCACGCGCGGGCGCTTGGAACACCAGCCTCGAAGTGGCCATGCGCTGGAGGCCCGCCTAGCTAGATACACGCGGTGCCCAACGCCATCAGCTACTATGCTGAGACAAGGCGCGCGCAACAGCCATGAGCCACTCCTCGGAAGCTGGGACGCATACATTACCTGTGGCGGGCTCTTTCTCAATCCCAGGATCTTTTGAGGGTTGGGGACGACGTCGGGGTGGTGTGGTGTATACTCGTTTCCCCGTTTTTTCCCGGGGAAGCAACGAAACATGTATGCACCAGGATCCCGTATACGCCAGGATCCGCTTTCCTGTGCGAGTTTCAGCGCAGGGCCCGAAAAAGCGTCGGTGTACAGTCGGGGCCCTGAAGAAGGAACCCTTTTCGTTGGGGAGGGGCTCCGTGTTCCTTGATTGCTTCGCAGCTTGCCTTAGATTTTCCTTAGGTTTTCGATGCGAACTCGAAGTTTAACTTATGGAAAATAGGGGCCTCGTTCCTTATTTAGGGTTCC